AAAACTCAAGTGCTCAAGGTGTTAAGTATCTCCTACCTTCTGAGGAGTTAGCTCTGATCAGGAGAGGCTGAGACCACCAGGGGGTTACGGGGCTGAGGGTTACAAAATCCTGGCTGCGGTGGGTAAACAGAAGGTAGAACTGTCCTTCCTAAAACCCTGCAAGAACCAGGCAGCACTTGGTGAAACTAATAGCAGATAATTTTAAAACGGTTAAAATAACATATTTCTATATGAAGAACATCTTATGATCACATGGTGAATAGATGTTACTGGCTTAAACTTGTGTTGTCCTTCAGCCCAGGTGTTCCTCAGCTGCCTGAGCTTCAGCTTTTATATTGTAGCTTTAGAAAACTCAAATATTTTGAGGTTTGCAGTCTAGCATAATCTTTATTTATTCTAAATACTTACAGTTTATGGAAAAACAAAGCGAGACCGATCCTATAGCTGGACAAAGTATTCCAGTAAGAGATGATGAAGTTAAAGAGAATTATTCATTACCTCAATGTCCTAGCAGTGACTCTTCATTCAGTGAGGTTGGTATTAAGCATTAAATTTGAAAATTTTACATATTTGTGTGGATTTTGTTAAATGTGGAATAGGGAAGAATATGTGTCCTGTTGCCTGAACAATTCTCCGGTTTTATTCTGCAAATCCCTTTCTTGATGATCAGGTCACCTGATTTAGTGGCTTTTGGTAGAATTAAAAGCTGTATAACATAATAATAGAATAATTATACCTGACTTCAACTGGGTGCTCTTGAAAATGTACTTCTCACCAACGCTTATGAAGTGGCTGATGATTAGATAAGTCACCTGAAAAAAAAGATCTAAACCCTTTTAAATGGATTGAGCAATAGCAGGGAAATTGGATTTGCTTTCTTCTGCTGCAGTGGCTTTGTCAGCTACTGACACCAACCATTCCCATGTCACTTTTTGATTTAAAAAAAAAATAAATTGTTTGTTATTAGCCAGCTCCATTCCTGGCAGTGCAGCAGTGCTGGTGTTCCTGCTCAGAACCCTGGCTGTTGAAGAAGGCCACCACCTTTGGGCTTGCCATGAGCTTGGGTCATGTTCCTTTGGGAGGGGAGGGAGGTACCTGCAGAGGGGAACAAGCACAAGGAGCAATGGCCCCTCATCCCCTTGGGCCCCTGCTTTGCAGGAGTACATTTCTCACCACCACCAAGTCTGTCACTCAGCAGTTCCTGCAGAGCAGCAGGGTTCAGATGAAGAAAATTGTGTCAGTTCTATTACTGCTCTGCTCTCTGTCTCTGCCCTTGAGGAAAATGACTTGGAAACAAAACATCAGGCTGAGTTTTGCAAGGAAAGCTTTGAGTTCTCTTGTCATAGATAGAAATGCTAACTTTTTAAAATTTAACAAAAGCTTTAGAAAGTAAGAGTTAAACTCTGCTATAGTTGAAGTAGATTCTTCACTTCCACATGTTCTGAAGGCTAACAGCTGGAAAATGGAATGCTTACTTTGCGATTCCCTGGGGAGGGATATGTATTGTGGCTTTTTAACTCCAGTATTTTAAAACTTGCTTTCTTAAAATTTGTGTGCTTGCAGGACCATTCAGAAATTGTCCTTGACTCTTGTGAAGTGTCCACAGACAATGGAAAAACCAGTCGGTTCCCCAAACCAGAGATGGAAACCCAGTTCACAGCTCTGCAGCCCAACGGAAGCACCAGGGCAGCGCTTTACCCGTTACCGTTAAAATGCTCAAGCCTAGAAAGAAACGGAAGAGTGAAGAGATGGATGAGGTGGGTGCTAGATCTTTTGCACTTCTCTCTCCCTACTGGTCAAATTTGCTCCAGCTCCTGGCTGTGGTTTGGGGGGTAACAGACCAGTTCTATAGAATTGCTCCTTTTGGCTTAGGCAATCAGTGGTAGTAATTATAATCTCTTCTAATGGGCAATTACAAGTTTAGTCCCTGGGATGAATCAATGCATTTTGGAGTTTCAAGACCACTTCCTGTGACTTTACTTCTCCAGCCTGTGTTTTCTTTGATTATTTTTGTACTTAGAGGGACTGTCCAGAACTAATTGAACCAGCACCTGACCCTTCCTGTTTTCCATAAACCTTAATTTCTCTGTAATTCCTCCCAGTTATGCTGGGTTGCAAAAGTGACTGTTAAAATCTAAGTTAACTTATCTGAAATTCAACACTTCATTCAGGAATAACATCCAGAGTTGAATTAAACTACTTGTGTCTTGAACCAATTTTCTTTGAGAGTAGAATTCTCTCAGGCTGCTGGAAAAGTAGGTGTAAAAATGACCACCCTCCTAAAGGCACTGAGAAAGCACCGAACTTACCCACAGATATTTCCTCTAACGGAGCTACCCGAGTGGTTAGAGAAGGCTCTTTTACCAATCCATTTACACGGTATAACATTTAGCTGAGTAACTGTTTAATGATATGGAACTAAACTTAAAAGTACCTTATTGCTCTGTTATTCAGCTGAGTGTTACTCTTCAATGTTGTTTCCTTGTTACTTATGCTAAACAGAAATGGAGTATAAAATCTTAGATTATAAATAGATTATAAAATCTTTAACTGTCACAAGTTTACTGAAGACACAACTATTTTTTTTAATTTCCTAAAACTGGAAAGCACATTGTCAGCACTAAAACTAAGGGCTGAGGGGAAACCTGTGGTACTAAAATAACCATGTACTATTCATCTCAAATTTTTAAAAAATAAAACAAACCCCCCTTGTTTTTAGAAACGAGCAAAACCAAACCCTCTTTCCCTTTCTGCCACCGCTGTCTGTCAGCGATCAGTTATCTGAAATCTCTTGGCACTGATTCACAAGATAGAAGGTTTCTTTTACTGAGAGCTTAACAAGGACGCTGTTTTTATTGTTGTCACCATGAATCTGAATCTACATTTATTGAGTTTATTTCACAAGCAAACTCCATAAATTTCTTGAAGCCAAAAGTACAGGAAATAACAGAGAAAAGACAATAGTAAGTGCCAGACTGGTTTGACTGGGTGTTTCTAGTTCCCTTCCACAAGTCTGTTTGGGGTTTGATTAGCGCTGGACCAGTTACCCCCATCAGTGCCAGCCAGTGCCTCCCTACGGTCAGTCTGGGCATTCAAACAGCAGCTGCTGCTCTGAGAGAAATAATTGTTGTTCTCTCCAGAATAATCCTATTTATTTTCTTAGGATTTTGTGAAAAGCGAGAACAAGAAAAACACCAAACTTGCTGTGACCGATTCACCTTCTACAAGCAACAAGAAAACGGTTTGTTTTGTTCTAGTTCTGAAGTTAATTTGGCCTTTTCTGTAATGGTGGATTTGTGAGAGGAGCAAACATTCTTATGCAGCAGTATCTTATTTCATTATAGTTTTAGTTATAACTTTGAATCTGTTGTTTTTAAAGAAACTATTTTTTTCCTATATTACTCGTGCCTTTAAATGTGTTCTGTGAAACTTTGAGAAGCTTTTTTCTTCTGGGTATAAAATGAGATTGCCTACACTGGTAGGCAATCCCCAATGTCATCATTCATTATCAGTATAATGGACAGAGGTGCCAGTAGCAAAGCTCAAAGTGTCAGCTTGAAACTAACACTGAAGTCAAATAAAATGGAATTGGACTTCAAGATAAGTCTATTTTCAACTTAACCAATGCTCTTGTATTTCTGTACAGACGTCTACCACGCAGTCATTCAGAAAAGAATACTCCTTAAGAAAGCAAAAATCTACTTCAAGTAAAACCTCAGATAAAAAGAAAGACGGAACCCTACAAAAAATTGGAGATTTTTTTCAAAGTTCTCCTACTATTATTCACTCTAAAGGTTTGTACAGAATAGCTAAGGCTTTTTTTCATGTTCTCTGGGCTTTTTTCTGCTGTAATTTATTAATGTGCTTGGTGTTAAAGGACATGTCTGCTGCACTAAGTTTGTCTTTCATTTATGAACTACTGGAGTCTGAGCCAAGGCTCACTGCACTCAGCCTCGCGGGGCAGAGAAGGCTGCCTTGACTTCTGAAGTGGAGGTGAAGTGTGAAAAGTAGCCCAGGTGGAATGAAAGGACACAGTGTGGAAAATGTGCTTATAAACTTCTCATAAAAGCAACGATAACTGTTAAGTTCAAAATGACCAGGTGACTTTGCTCTGGCTTACAATAGAAGAGTTAAGGGCAATTTCAGAAACTTGCCCAACTGCTCTGAAAAAATCAAGAGCTGAATCCAAACTCCAAATCTTACCTGAGAATCATGCAATAGTTTGGGCTGGAAGGGACCTTTAAAGGTCATCCCATCCAACCTCCTGCCATGAGCAGGGACATCTTCAACTACAGCAGGTTGCTCAGAGCCCTGTCCAACCTGACCTGGAATGTTTCCAGAGATGAGGCATCTCCCACCTCTCTGGGCAACCTGGGCTAGTGTTTCACCACCCTTACAGTAAAAAGTTCCTTCTGTCAAGTCTAGATCTTTCCTCTTTTAGTTTCAAGCCATTGCCACTTGTCCTATTGCAACGGGCCCTGCTCAAAAGTTTGTCTCAGAAGTTTCTCCTCAGGCCTGCTCTCAGTCCCTCCACCCCCAGCCTGTGCTGCGACCAGGGGTTGCCCTGGCCCAGGTGCAGGCCCCTGCCCTTGGCCTTGTTGAACTTCATGAGGTTCACACAGACCCACTTCTCCAGCCTTTCCAGGTCCCTCTGTGTGTCCCTCAGCTGTGTCACCCCACCACTCAGCTTGGGGTCATCCTCAAACTTGCTGAGGGTGCCCTTGAATCCCACTGTCCATGTCGTCGATGAAGACACTGAACACTGCTGGTCCCAGCATGGACCCCTGAGGGACACCACTGGTCACCAATCTCCATCTGGACATGGAGCACCGTTGACTGTTTTTAATGCAGTTTGCTTTATTGATTCATTTTGAGGCTCATAAAACCAGTAAGACATTGATTTGTAATAACTCTTTTCTTATAGCAAAGAAACTGATGGCAACATTAAGCTCTCCCAAGTCTGCAGAACCAGAAAGAGTCAAAGAAAATGAGCTCAAGCCAAAACGAGCCAAGAGAAAGCTGTATTCAACTGACATTTCTTCCCCTCTAGATATCCCCCCTTCTTCAGTAAGTGATTACAAGTCACTCTTCTCTCCGCTGTAATGCGTTTCTGTAATCTTGGCTCAAAATAAACCATTAGGGGGACAGAACAAACCTAAAGGTCTGATCAAGCTGCAGAAGAGGCTTGAAAGTACTGACTTCTTTCTTGATTCTGCCTGACCATTCCTTCTGGTCTTTTCTTCCTGCTGTTTTCCTTAATTTACTATTGAATTTTCTGTAAATTCTACAAATGAGTATTAGAGACTAGAAGCGAGAGCTGCTTCCAGACCACATTTTTCTTTGGACTTTGGTGTGTGTTTCAGCAAAAACAGGTTTTTTTTTCTATGTTCCCAGTATTTGTTGCTTCTAATACTGCACTAAACTGGTCTCTCTCCCCTGGAGACCTCTGACTGAAAGATAAAAGACAAATTTCATTCTGAAAACAGATTCTGGGAAAAACTGTTGTTGGCTACATGGGTCTAAAAGTACTCATTTGCCTCTGAATAAATGCTGAGTAACTCTGGAAATATTGTCTTTTTCAGGTCTTTATAGACCAAAAAGAGAAGGAGAGTGATCATCTAATCATCAAGCGACGGCTACGATCAAAACCAGCAAAATAATCTTGCAGCAACGTGTTTGTATTTCCTGGTTGGGGCATATTCCTGTTTTATCTGTTACTTCCTATAATATTTAGTCACGCTCCCAAGTCTGTATATAAGATGTATAGATTTGACCTGGTGGTTTCCAGTTCTGACTCTATTAAAGCTGAAATACTGCTCAAAAAAGCTGGTCTCTGAATTGTTTTTTTAGGAATGGTGTCTTTGGAAGTGTTGATTCAAATGTGTGGAAAGTAATGGAAATATCTCTATTTCGGACATCTCTGAAATTGCTGATTGATAATCTTTGTTCTTCTCCCTGTCAAATATAACATTGGATGGTTTCAAGTAGCTTATGCTTCTTTCTGATTTTGTGGGTAAATAACAAATGACAAAACATTTAACAATTACTGTGGTAAATGCAGTTTAGTGGGGTTTTTTTTAATAAAACATGCCTGTTTGGGTTTCACCGAGCCAGTTAAGGTGTGCCTGGTGCCTGCCAGCAGAATTCCCAGGAGATGGCGCTGGGACACCGTTTGAGGGGCTGATAATCCACAGGGAATTCCAGCTTCAGGTGCAGGGGGCAGAAACGTTTTACTTCCTCTTAAATTAACCCACTTTTCATCCCATTTAGCCACGCTGCATAAAACCTTCAGAACTGGGCCTTGCTGGACTGTATCTCTCTGCAAAGTCCTAGTTCTCCAGATCTTTATTTCCCATTAGAATGACACGACCTACACAGGGAAGCGACCACCATCTGGCCCTGGCATAAAGGATTTGGGGTCTGGGGTCAGGATCCTGTGCTGAAGGGTTGCTTTATAGGCACTGACATCTCCTGCAAACTCTTCATCCATTGCTGCACACTAATGTTCCACAGGAGCTTATATATTTTTCTCTTTTAACAAAATAAAGGATATTTCCATTGAAAAATTCACTAGAATTAGAAGTGCTCTGAGGCTTAAGAGAAAGTAAGAGATTGGATTTGCTAAGGAAGAATGTGCTTCCAAAGTTGCTGGATTTAATACTTGCAGATCTTTGTGGTGATGATGAAGTCAGACTATATGGCCATGCTGTAACATGGTTTTGGTTTTTGAATGATCTATGAGAATTAGGAATTATCTGAGATACAAGTTTTGGCTTGTTTTGTAGCATAAAAATGCCAAATTGTGCTTTTCCTGCCGTGCGCTGAAGACTCCACAAGCACCCAATTGCTGCTGAAGGATGAGTCCTGAAACCCCTGTCTGGGAACAAAGGCAGATCTTTAGAGTTTAACTGAAAGACCAGCTTTTTCAATTCATTAAATAACTAGAAAAATTGGGTAAAATGAGCTTGCACCTCTTCAGTTCGTTTCCAACTGTTTAAAGTGTGTTTTGCTTCTAAAAAGGAGTCCTTTTAATCACAGAGGAGTTGCTAAGGGGAAACCAGCCAGATAAAACACATTATCCAAATAATAAATTTCAATAATCCTTGTTTTTTCAAACATGGATTTCAAGCAATTTGAAACAAATTCTAGAGAAAATTCTTTGAGCTTAATTCTTCATCTTTTTAAGCGTAGGATTTCAATGTGTGAAATGCCACGTGGCACTGATTTCCTCTAGAATCTATCTAATCATCCTAACGTTATTAATAGATGGTCTCATTACTAATATTGACTGTTAAACTTTTACTTTATGAAGAAAGGCCCGGTGGAGTTCCTGCTCCTGCAGCCCCTGCTTTGAGGAAAGAAATCTCTTGGACAATCTCACGCAAAGAAAGTTTGCTCTTCCTTGTAAATTAAACTTCACAAACGCAGCCAGACTCTTGGGATGCAAATGAGCAATAAAAAAATGAAATAGCAAGTACAGGCAGTCTCTTCAGCTCTCCTGACAGCTTTTCAGAGGAAAAAAACCCTGAAGTTGAATTTCATTTAAGGAGCGACTCCTGTTTGCTAATGCAATAAACCCAGCCCCTGACAGCGGAAATTTCTGCTATACAGATATTGCCAAAATTCTAAGTACTTCATAACTTAAACATTTCAGTGTTCAGGGACAGAGAAATCTCTGTTCCAGTACATGATATATATTTAGAGAGAGAGCCGTACAGGAGCTGTATTTGCTGATTTGGGATTTACAGAAAGGAAATTTCCTGCTCGACTGAAACACATTCATGATATTTCATTCCCAAAGAATTTCGAAATTTTGGGGAAGAAATAGTTTGGTGTTTTGTTGTTGGTGATGATATTTCATTCCCAAAGGAGTTTATAAGTCGATGTATCTAGATCTGTAGGTTTCTTGTGATATCTAAAAAACCCCTGAGCAGGACATCTACAGCCCCTTGGCAGGGACTCCTCCCAGACGTTCTTTAGGCTAAAAATTGACAACAGTGTGCCTGGTGGCTTGGGGGGCAGCCCCACGGCCCAAGGTTCAGCAGGTGGATGTGGGGTGACGGTGGGAATAAGACAGCTCTGCAGCCTTTTTTTTTAATGCTATAAAAGGGCTTCAAACCCCTCAGACTGTGTGTTAGCTCATATCATGGCTTACATTGGAATTAATGACATGAAAAGCAGCTACACAATCTAGCTATACATGTCTATACTGCAATCTTGCTGTCACAAATTAGATGCTTCAGCAAGTTTGTGGGAACATTTAAAGATTATTTGATTCAGGAAAGCGAGACGTGGTTTTATCTCAGCTGAAGGTTCAGGTTGTCTAGAACTAGAAATGTTTGACAGAAATTCAGTGGGGTCTTTTCTTTAGGACCAAGGTGTGAATTGCAGCCAATGACAGAGTTTGCATTTAATGAGGACCCAAGACACTGAAAGTTTTTTCTTCGCACACGGAACCAGAGGAGGGGATGGAAAACTGTTGGTAACTGTGATTTGTTCAATTGATATTTTGAGGAAGAAATAGTTTGGTGTTTTGTTGTTGGTTTTTTTATTTCTGAAATTCTTGTTACTTAATTTCTCCAATAAAATGCTGGATCAAAACGTTTCACTTTGAGAAACCAAACCGTTCAACTGCCTTAAACTGCAGCTTATTTGGAGATCACGGTGTGACTCCGCAGCCTTTCTGTTGACACGTTGTAAAGTGGAAAAGTGCATAAAAGTTAAAAAAGTCCCTTTCTCTCAGCTCTAGACAAAAGAAGACTCTCCTCACAAATTTCTAGAGGCAAATATAAGGTTTTGTCACAGGTGAGGAGTGAGCTCTAGGTCCTGCTGCTACGTGGGGGCTCTCAGCAGAGCTATTTACTGCAGTAAATTCATCACAGCGGGGAGAGTCCACAGGTGTCTGCAAGGGGGGACCTGATGGCTGAGAAGCTGGTCGTTAATTGCAGCTGCAGTCATTAGCTGGCCACATCTTCTGGGGCTGGAGAGAAGGGATGTGTGGTGTGGGAGCAGGTTGTGGCATTTGCTCTGTGCTACAGTTGGTGGAGGAGGAAGACTCCGAGGAGCTGGTGGAGGTTGGTTCTACTGAGCGCCAGTTTGGGGCTCCATCTGCTGAAGTCGTTGAACAAACCAGCCCTTCACCAGGTAAGAATTGGGTGCTTGCTTTCTTCTTTACGTCTTCTGTGAAATTTTATATTTCTTGAGAGGTTAATGTGTTTTCCTCACCTGTAAAGTGTTTCTGCTGCTTGTCTGGGAGGTTATTGAAGTGGCTTCTGATGGGGGCTTTATCTTGTGCGGCGCAGGAGGAGATAAAAATACCAGAGACTTTTCAGGTTCTCTGATCTTTATTTAGCTGGTGTTTTGTAAAAGTTTATTTCACTTCAAAGAGAGCTCCTCTTACATAAGGACTGAAGCGAGCGGTTTTAAAGAACGGTGGTTTCTGCAACAGATGAGAAGACCTGGTGCTTTTCCCAGCACGTTGGGGGCCGGGGGAGCGATCGCTTGATGAAGAATTAAGTTTGTGTTAATCTTTGGGCTTTCACCAGTGCAATATGTTGGTTCTGTCTGTATTTCAGCAAGCAGATTTTCTTTAAATAAACACGTAAGTAAATGTTACGGTGCTGTTCAGACACAAAAGGATATGAATTTAAACAAATATTAAGTTGAATTTTCTGTCTGGCTTTTTGGCTGGCCTGATGTCACGGAGGGGGGCAAGAGGAGGCCAGGCCATGGGCTGCCTGTATCAAAGGTGACCTACCTGAAGCTGCCTGGGGCAAGTTTGAGCAGGAAAATAATTCTATGTTTTTGTCTGTGGGAAGAACTGGCTCAGAACAATAAAATGCAGGGACACCTTTGAAACAAACGCTTTGCTCTGGGAGAAATGGGCTTGAAATGATTGACTGGGGAACTGAAGGATCCATGGGTGACTGAGTGTGGGTTTCTGTTGAGGTTTGTGTCAAACCTGTTTGATTTTGTAATCCGTCTCAGGCTGCTTGCAGTAAGGCCAAAGGAAAGTAGTGATTTCCTTGAAACGTGACAGTCTGAAATGCCAAATTGTTAGTGGAAATGCGTGAGGTTTGCATGAAGGGGGTGATTGCTCTGCCACTTGTGTCACAAGAACTTGCAGAAGCACTAAGAGCTGGAATTAAACCTCAGGGCAGGTGGCAAGTAAGGCTGGCTCTGCCCATAAATCAGCCATGATTGCCTTCTGTAGAGCCACTGGCTTCTGCCAGTGCAAACCCAGGTGTTTCTATTCAAGCTTTGAACCTCATTAGCTGTGTCTCTGTTGTGACACCTGTGGATGGACCTTCTAGCAGACTGCTAAAGCAAAGCCTGGCTGAGATCTCTCAGCAGAACCTGTCTCAGATGTTGCTGAGATGTACCTGTCTGGGAAGGCACCAGGACTTGCTGGTCACACGTCCTCCCTGCTCAGGATTGGAGGTGAGCCCCCCAGAGACCTGGAGATGGGTAGGACCTCAGATGTAATGAAGGGTAATTGGGAAGGAAGGTATCTTCTCAGAGAGATAAGAAGGATGGGTGTGTTGTCTCTTCATAGTGGTAAAATAAAACCCCTTCATAGTGATTGGGTGAAGATTTTCAGTCTCTAATATGAATGGTGTAAGTAATAGATGGGTGTCTTGTCTCTTCATAATGGCAAAATAAAACCCCTTCATAGTGATTGGGTGAAGATTTTCAGTCTCTAATATGAATGGTGTAAGTAATAAAATTCAGAAGTACAGGCAGGCAACGAAACTTGATTATCCTGGATTTAAGATAAATCCAGTGATTGTCCAAATAGGCTGAGATCACCAGTGTAGTTATAAGC